CTGGTAATTCACAGTTTCTATGCTTTGTTTTATTTTTATTTTAAGGCTTAAAAGCCAGATTTTGATCAAATGACTGAGTAATATTAATAATACCAATTAAATTGTCAGGAGATGAGGATTTAAGTTCAGGGGTAAGAGAGACACATATTAACAATCTCACGAATAAAAATAGGAAAAGGAGTTTCAAATGGGTTTGAAGAGCGACTTTTACCTATACTATATACTAGAGAAATCAATATTTTTCCAGTAAAGGATACTTTCAAAAAACCTTGTTGTGTGAGCGCGTAATATAAAAAAACTTTATTCATAGACGTCGTTGGGATCATAAATTTGCGACGGCCTGATCTTCACCTTAAATATACTGAATTTTAACGAGACTGTCTACCGATTTCGTCTTTTTCGATTCTGCAACACTGCTTGTAAATCGTCGCCCCCCAAAGTCACTCGGATCGTGTACCAAAGATGAAACATTTATAAATAATCCCGTGGCGCGCGGCATGTGCGACCGATAGGCTGACGAATGTATGGGCAAATGTTTGAGGTGTGAAATATGTGTGATAGTTGCGCCGAGTTTCTGGGCCTGGAAGTTTATTGATATACTTATAAAAAGAAATTGCGATATACCCTCCACAACTCATTTTTCTCAAAAACATTCAAAATCATTTTAAACGACGAAAAACAAAGTGCGAGCGAGATTTACTTTTTTTTTTCATGTTTTTGCAAAAACTACAAAGCTTCTTCGTTCTTCGCGTAATAGTAACCTTGTGTAAAAATTTCTCCAAAATAGGAACAGTATTTTCCAAATTATAGATGGACTAATGATTAACGGACATACAGACAGAGATGAATTACACGGTTTTTCGTAGACAAAAAATTAAAATCTCATTTTAAAAATGCTTTCCTATTACAATAGCCGCCGGAAAATCAAATTCGACGATACAACGTTTATTGAACCTATTCCGGAAAAACATTTGCTTTATTGAAGACAAACTGACATAAAAATATTACCGTTTTCATGTTTTGGAAACAATTTCTGTTTCTATAGCTGTAGCACCTCTGGCGAGTGCCTTTTTTATTAGATTCCTTAGTATCTTAACCATAAACACTGTGTTTTCTATCTGAAACGGTACCTGCTAGGCAGAAGCCGCAACCTACTGTGATTTTTCTTTTTTATCTATTTTTCAACGAGCTGCGGCAATTCTCACTGACTGCAGTAGCGTGACATCCACGTTGGATCCGACGTTACGAAGCCAAATGAATCGATCGTTTCAAACAGTACTCTAGTCAAAAAAAATTACAAAATGTTTTTTACTTAAAGTCGATCTCTGCCGCTGACCTGGAAAAAAGAAGACTAGCGACGACTTCCTCTCAGACAAGAGACCTGGAGGCTATCACTGCTTGGGGATGCAACAAGTTTATCGCTCAGGAGATGTGAAATTTCGAAAAAAACGGGATAATCAACTTAAGGCATATTTTTTGTACAAAAGCATATTCACGATGTGTATATACGAAAAAGACAATTAATAGAAGCAGGCGATGGAATACAAAACGTTAAAAAAAGTCAGTCTCATCGCTTAATCACAGACCTCGTATACAGGGTAACTTTGAAGTTGAGTCATTAATTTTCAGATAATGATTGTAGAAGGAAGATAAACCAAAATATGTGTGTAAAAATAAAAAAAGAAACTCGTTTTATAAAGTATCCTCCCGACAAGTATTTCAGTGCGGACCTGTATTTGATCGTGCGGTCTTGGAGCACCGGCATGCCCTCCCCTGTGAGGTCTTAAGTCACCTGATTCACGAGCCCTTTGTACTACATTAACAAAGGCACGAGGGGTTGGTTGCACTCGATCGGGAAACCGATCCGCATAAATCCGTGATGCCGCGGCAGCATTTTGTGAAGACTCCCCCCCCCGTAAATAAGAATCGTGTCCACAAGTTCAGCATTTTCGTAAACATGTGCCATTTTTTATTTCGTTTGAGCCGCGCAACAAACACCACTATTCACTCACGCGTTACCGACTGACACATTGACTGAATCCAACTGAATAAAATTGTAGTGAAAACATCGTGATAAGCGTTTCAAATTCTTTCGCTTTTTTGTTTCCGATGCGACGAACCGATAAGGCGGATTATATCCGTTGTTGCCAAACACGAGCACATAATATTATTATTGAGACAGGGCGGACTCAAACTTCTAAAGGGCTATAACTTCGTTACTTTAATTTTACCAGAAAAATGTTAAAGAATAAAAACATTTCTATTGATCAGATCTACTCAGTGTTAAAATAAATGACTCAACTTCGAAGTCACCCTGTATATTTGTAGTTGGCGAGTTGAATCCAGAGTAGCGTACGCCACTGTCCGCCGTTCCGTGAACCGACACGGAGCATCGCTTGGTTAACCTCGCCGTAAAATCTATGACAAATCGTAGATAAATAAAAAAATGCAGGCTTTTCACGCCATTGACACAAATATCAATATCATTGCCACCGGTTCACCAAAGAAGGTTTACAATTCAGGCGATGAAGGAAACTCGAAAAAACCGCCAACACATTGTGAGGCCGGCGTGTGGACAAAGAAAAACTTGCTAAGTATGACCTACTGACATTAACATTGTTAGCAAGTCTTCTGTGCAAGTTCGCACTTGAAATGGTTACGTTTTGGCTACCGTGTCTGAGGAATGTTGTTATAAAAACCGTGAAGGTTTGAATATTATTTGGTTACATGCTGACCCAATAAGCACAGTTAGCTCGTTTATATGCCATATGTTTCGGAAGTCACATAACCAGACATGTTCGAGTTTTAAGCCTACAGCTATTTTGAGGGCTTAATGGATGGTTTTAACTGGTACAAAAAAGTATTCGTAATAAATACCTACGTTGTTAAAGAAAATAAGTGGTACTAGAACATCCTTATAGAATAGTAGTAGCTGTGTACTGTGATATTTAAAGAGCTATTTAAGAATTTTAGTAGTAAGTTACGTTATCTAGGTATTTGTTTTCGACCAGACATGACGTTTTTACGTATTCGTTTTGAAGGTAACTGTAAGAAAAATCCAGTGAAATGGAGTCAGAACTTCCTGTGGTTTTATTTAACGACTGTCAAATATGGAGGATTAAACTTGTCATATGTAGGAAAATTTGATTTATGCTCTTTTAACTAAATGCCACAGGTTGATCGCCTAAGTTATTTTTCCAATAATAGATTCGACGTTAAAATAGTTCATGATATTTCAATAATAATACTATTGGATGTCCTTCATTTTGGATGACTTGAATATTTTACGTTATCTAACAAAGTAAAGTTTGTGCACTACAATGATAAGCATGAGTTTGTTTTGAATTGTCTAATTTATGAATTTAGTTAGTTAAGCAGTTTGAACATGCAGTACAAATTGAAATTATTTAAAACAGATAACATCGTAATCTGCCTAATTCTTAAAGGTTTAGATAAGTTTTTAGAACGATGCGTTTAACATATGCAATTTTCGCAAAACTTTATCTGTATCGTAATTTTTTCTATAGTGTAGCTGCTGGGTGGGCAGATACCTGAATACCGGGGCATCGCAACTGTTATACGGGACTTACAGTATTATTTCAGTGACCCGAGATGTCTTGAAGTATACCTAAAGAAACGATGAATATCAAATTAATTGAAATATATATATATATATATATATATACGAGCCCCTTGCCACTTCAGTTGGCCCACTTCAAGATTTGTACCAAAATATGCCTTTATAAACTAAACATGACGAAACTATTTACTTCTAAAACAATTTATTTTCTCAAAAACATTTTAGATACACTATAGTCATAAAAAATACATATTTGAAATCAGTTAGACCTATAACTAATAGAATAAAATGAATAAAATGAATAAAATGAATAAAATGAATAAAATGAATAAAATGAATAAAATGAATAAAATGAATAAAATGAATAAAATGAATAAAATGAATAAAATGAATAAATGAATAAAATGAATAAAATGAATAAAATGAATAAAATGAATAAAATGAATAAAATGAATAAAATGAATAAAATGAATAAAATGAATAAAATGAATAAAATTAATAAAATGAATAAAATGAATAGAATGAATAAAATGAATAAAATGAATAAAATGAATAAAATGAATAAATGAATAAAATGAATAAAATGAATAAAAGAATAAAACGAATAAAACGAATAAAACGAATAAAACGAATAAAACGAATAAAACGAATAAAACGAATAAAACGAATAAAACGAATAAAACGAATAAAACGAATAAAACGAATAAAACGGATAAAACGAATAAAACGAATAAAACGAATAAAACGAATAAAACGAATAAAATGAATAAAATGAATAAAATGAATAAAAGAATAAAACGAATAAAACGAATAAAACGAATAAAACGAATAAAATGAATAAAAAGAATATAATGAATAAAATGAATAAAGTGAATAAAACGAATAAAACGAATAAGATGAATAAAATGAATAAAATGAGTAAAATGTATAAAATGAATAAAATGATAAAATGAATAAAATGAATAAAATGAATAAAACGAATAAAATAAATAAAGTGAATAAAATGAATAAAATCAATAAAATGATAAAATAAATCAAATAAATCAAACGAATGAAATAAATAAAATTATATGACAGGCGGCGACATCTGCTGTTTTCTCGAAATTCTGTTCATGAAGAATTCTTACTTCTGCATTAAGTTATGTATGATATTGAGGAATAACATAGAAAAAAGTATACCTACGTCAATTCCGCAAAATCAGGAAATTGGACCCGAGCGGAAAAAAAGGGATATGCATCCCGAGCAATGCGTATTTCTGCTTGTTGGCTTCATCAGGTCCGAAATGCATGCCCATATGTATCTACCAAAGTAGACACAAAGTCACCAACAAGCAGGAATGCGCACTATTTGTTATATACCTTTCTCAGCGTGGTCCTTTCTCTTTTTTTGTAGATATTGAGGAATGTTTGTTGTTTGCAGGTCGGTGTGAGCCTACCGGCGGCATGCTGATAGCGTGCGCGGGCTGCGACAAGCCCATCCTGGACAAATTCCTGCTGAACGTCCTGGAGCGGACGTGGCATGCCGACTGCGTCCGATGCATAGACTGCCACGCGCCGCTCACCGACAAGTGCTTCTCCAGGGAGGGGAAACTCTTCTGCCGGACGGATTTTTTCAGGTTAGTTCACAAATTACATCAGATACATGAATAAGATGAAATTGAACCGCAGATTTTCAGAGAAACAGTATCTGTCTCCTGAATAGGTTGGGTTTCGGCTGCAAGGTTATCATGGCCCTAGTTTCTGCGATATTTTAACCTAAAAGTGCAAAAATATGCGATTTTTGCTTTTATAAGTATGAGGTTACGCAGCAAGATGATTTTAATTCCAAAAACCATAGACATCGTCTCAAAGTACAAACCTTACTTCGAAATTTGAAGGTAATTTTGCATATAAAAAAGGTTTGGGTTGTGGGTTTTGTGGTCTGGTTGAGTTTTTTATATTTTTTAAGAATTTGGTGATGATGTATTTATTATCCAAACCACAACGTTGATGGACACATAATCATAACTTGTAGAGTATGAAATATAGTGAAATTCAGAACAATCAAAATTTCAAAGTGCCACTTGAAAGGGCGATGCTACTTTGAGATGATGCTTATGAACTCTATATGCGGTTCTGTAGCATGGTGATTTTTATCTCAAAAATCATCGACGTCGTCTCAAAGTACAAACCTCACTTTGAAATTTTAATTTTTCTGATAATTTTTCATCAAAAGGTAATTTTTTATTTAAAAAATGTGTGGAATCGAAAGTAAGAACGTTAAACTTGTATTGGTTGGGGTAGGGTGGGTTGTGGGTTTGCGATTTGGATAAGTTTTATATATTTATGAATTTAGTGATGATGCTTGGTGGGTTTTTTAGTTGGTAGGTCTTATTTCATCAAAATACTTGTTATTAATTTTTTGGTATATTATTATCCAAGTCACAACTTGAATTTACACATCCCAACTAACAATTATCACTCCTATTAGAGTTGCAAGAATGATTATACAGTATTCCTTAGACAGCATTGTATACAGTAATACCCCGACTTACGCTACCCCGTTTTACGCGAATTCGGAGATACGCGGTTTTTCATTTTGATTGCCGCGCGCAGCGCGCATCGGCTCTCTCGCTCCGCGCGCGCATCGGCTCTCTCGCTCCGCGCGCGCATCGGCTCTCTCGCTCCGCGCGCGCATCGGCTCTCTCGCTCCGCCCACTCAGTGTTCAATTTGCATCAGGTTTAAACGTGTTTCGCGTGCAATTGTTTTACGTGCGCAGTGCGTTTTACTTATAATCTCTAATTATGTCGTCTAAAAGAACAAAAAATGAGTCATTTGAGCCTAACAAGAAAAGAAAAACACTGTCTTTGGAGTGTAAACTGAATATAATTAAAGACTTTGAAGCAAAAATGAAAATTTGTGAATTGGCGAAGAAATTTGACCTTCCGGAATCAACAGTCCGAACGGTTGTAAAAGGTAAAGAAAAAATTATGAACGCTGTGAAAGACTCTCAATCTTTGAATTCAAGTATCATCCGTAAGCGTCACGGTATTATCGCACAGATGGAAACATTGCTACAGTCATGGTGTGATAATCAAGTAAGAGTGAAAAATTGTCCTGTTGATCAAAATACAGTGTGCTTTCAAGCAAAGCAGATTTTTGAAAAACTAAAAGAAGAAGCTGGGGAGGCGGCTGAAAATGAAGTGTTTAAAGCTAGTAACGGCTGGTTCAGCCGATTTAAGAGTCGTTGTAATTGGCATAGCATCGCAGAGAGTGGAGAAGCGGCAAGCGCTGATAAAGAAGCTGCATCTCTCTATCCAGAAAAACTCAAAACAATGATAGATGAAGGTGGCTACACTAGCCAAACTATTTTCAACGTAGATGAAACAGGTCTTTTTTGGAAGAAAATGCCTAAAAGAACTTTTATTGCGCGTGAAGAGAAAACTTTTCCAGGTTTTAAAGCCGCCAAGGATCGATTAACAGTGATGGTTGGTGCGAATGCAGCTGGAGATTGTAAATTAAAACCTCTCTTAGTTTATCGCTCAGAAAATCCAAGGGCCTTAAAAAATAAATCCAAAGCTGGTTTGCCTGTCATTTGGAAGTCTAATGCGAAAGCTTGGGTGACAGCTTCTCTTTTTGAAGACTGGTTTGGCCATCATTTTATTCCTGAAGTCGAACGTTACTGCCGATTAAAAGAAATCCCATTTAAAGTGATGCTACTAATTGACAATGCACCAGGTCATCCTCCCGCAACTCTAATTAATTTCGATCCACGTGTGGAAGTTGTATTTTTGCCACCAAACACTACCAGCTTGCTTCAACCAATGGACCAGGGAGTCATTAAAACATTTAAAGCTTACTACACAAGGCGGTCATTTGCACATCTACATGAAGCTATGAGACAAAACAATGAGCTTTCTGTTAAAGACTTTTGGAAGCAATTCAATGTTTTAGATGCTGTAAGAATTATTGGACAATCTTGGAATGAGGTTTCACAAAAAACTCTCAATGGTGTCTGGAAAAAACTGTGTCCATTTTTTTTCACCTCTGAAACTCAAGGAGAAACCATTTCAAATCCTGAACAAATCGATAGCATAATAGAAGAAGTGGTCGATATCGCCAAGCAATTAAATTTAGAGGTCGATAATGATGACGTTCAAGAATTGCTAGATTCACACAATCAAGAGCTAACAATTGACGAGGTTATAGAAATGCGTAAGTATGAGCAAGACATTGAACAAACTGATTCGCTAGACCCAGTTGAATCGGTAAATCAAATGACAATTGCAAACTTAACAGAAGGACTCAATTCAATTGAAAAGGGGTTACAAATTTTAGAAAAAATTGATTCTAATGAAGAACGCGTGTCTACTACAAAACGAGGGATAAAAAAATTACTGGTATGCTACGAGGAAATTTTACGTGAAAAGAAGAAAAATTTAACTCGTCAGGCAACATTGTTAGAATATATAAAGCCTTCGACATCAAAATAACTTCGGTTTAGCTTACTTTATTCATAACAATGTAATTTTTTTTATTATCCTACACTTTATTAAACATTTTTCTTCTAAATTATTGTTTTCTTTAAACTCTGGTCCCGATTAAACAAACTTTATATGTATTTATATGCAACATTGAACCCCGACTTACGCGAATTCGACTTACACGGCAACCGTTCGGACCCACCTATCGCGTAAGTCCGGGGTATTACTGTACTGTAAGAACATTGGCAAAACCCTCTTAGAACAGCTATACAAGCGGAATGGGCACACCTAATAGGACACTTCAGTCATTTAAGAGGTTGTATAAGGGCTGTAAGCCTCTTGCAGCCGCTATAGGACATTTGCGTCAGTGCAAGATTCAGATTTTGTCAACTATACAACTATTCTGTTACGTGATTCTACTTTATTGTAACCAAACTATTTCTTATGTATTGTATGGACGAAGTGAAGAATATACAACTAACACATTACAGTCATATTGTTTACTTACATATCGGCCATTGTGAATTTTATACACAGGTAGATGATAAACTTCTATACTGTGATATAGGGCCATTGAATTACTTGCCCAGCAAATTGTATTGTGATTATCGTGCAAAGTAGTTAAGCAATTTATACGGGCTTCGTATTTGATTCATATTTTGACAATGAGTCGAATGATTTATCTAGATTATGTACCAGATCTATATCTTCTGTTTGAACAGTTGATAAAACCTTTTTAAGCAATATGCATGTGTTGTTTGTCTCGGGTTTGTTTTATAAACGTTACCATGGATGCCACAACACAACCATTTTGACTAACCTGCAAATATGCCGTATAAAATAGTTGTATAAACGCTTATGAAACAGTTAAAAATTTGTCCTATAAGGTGTTGTGTAACTATGCTATAAGAATATTTTAAGCACCTCATTTTACAGCAAATATGTTGCAGAAAGCAAATTTGCACTCCACAGCCAGCATTTTGGTGTTCAGGCAACAACAATAGAGAGCTTTTATGGCTAGACGGTTCTTTTAACAAAAGCTTATAGCACTACTTTGCTAGTTGGGATATCCATAACGTGCAGAATATGAAATATAGTAATATTCAGAATAATGAAAATTTCAAAGTGCGACTCGAAAGGGCGATGTTACTTTGATGTTTATGGGCTTGATTCCAACCGTTGTGCAGTGGAGCTTGCTCCAGTTCTTTTGCGTCCCTTCCAGAAAACTGGAAATTTGCTCATGTCTCATCCCGAGAGGTTTTCAGCATCAGCGATGATTGGGGCAACTCCTGGCTTAAGACATGGGTTGCTGACTTCCTCTCTGGGCGCTTGATATCCGTCTTAATTGACGAGTTCTCCTCTTCATTCCATAACATCAACGCAGGTGTTCCCCAGCGATCGGTCTTGTCCCCGATATTGTTCTTCTTCTCTTGTACTGTCAATCCAATGCACAGCTTTGTTTGGAGGAGTTCTCGCCTTTCGCACCGGCGGGCCATCGGTGATGTAGCTCCGTTCTACCGCTATAACAATTCGTACAAAGTGGTCACTCTGTATACAAGCAGCATGCGGTGCACGGACATGTACAGGGCCCGGCTGACGATACATCGAGACCAGAAACCAGTCGCTGCTACACGACCCGTAGCTCGTAGCCCTGCCCAGTTCACGTCCTATCGGCGGTAGGATCTCACGATCCCACACTAAAACGAAGGAGAATATGGTGGTAGGCTTCGTTCTGCTGAAGATGGGTGTTTGTTGGTATACAAGCGGATACGCTTTATTGCAGCTTCTATGGAAATTATTGCGCAGTGCACCTTTGGAATGCGCAGCCTCTGCCATATACTATGCTGACAATTAAGCGTATAAGACGTGATTTAACGTGACCTTGGGAGAGGCTTGAACCGACCGTATGACCTATTATTCGTAGTGTGGAAAAGTATCGGCAACACTTTTTATTTTATTATAGACCGTTGAAAGAAGTCATGAAAATCGTACAGGATGAACGAAAGTTTGTGATAGCAAGTCTTTGGTCTATTTTTGTTTTATATTGTAAAGTGCAGTGATATTGGTTGAATGATTTCTTAAGTTTTTTCATTTAAACAACTGACGACCAGTGACGTTTAGCATTATAATACATCGTTTTAGCTCATGCCTG